TCAAGTTCAAAAATGGAGAACTACGATGAGGAATTTGCCATGATGGTCAAGCAATTCCGGAAGTTCAAAAAGTTCTTCAAGAAAGCTGACTCAGTCAGAAGGCCATCCAAGGGAAAGCCACAGGTAAGTGACTCTCCTCCTGAATCTTATTTGTGTTACAATTGCAGGAAGCCTGGCCACTGGAAGTCAGCGTGCCCGTACCCAAAAGTGGAGAAGTACGGAGAAAGAGAAAGGATCGAGAAGAAAAAGAAGGCAATGGTTGCTGCTGAAAGTGACGAGTCATCCAGCTCAAGCTCGGATGAAGAAGCTCTCATCTGCATAGAGCGCAGAATTGAAAAGTCCAACCATGAGGATAGGTGGACTATGTCAGAAGATGACACTCTCTGCCTAATGGCCAAAGATGATGCTGATCAAGAGGTAACCTCACAAACCTCCTGCTCATCTTCTTATGAAAGCATACCAACTTCTGAAAATCTTTTTGACCAGTTCAAAAAGATGATGAAAGACTTTGAGGAGATAAATCTCAAACATTCTTCCTTAACAGAGGAGAACAAACTATTGAGTGAAGAGAATCTCAAGTTGACTGAAGGTCGGAAAAGACAACTGAATGACTCAACTCAAGACTGAAAATCAATCTCTCTCTGAAAAGGTGAAATCCCTTAACAAAGAACTAGGGACTCTTACAAAGAAGCAGTGGATAAGCTTCTTGAAACGACCAAACATAAGGGTCGTGAAGGACTTGGGTTTGACCCCTCCAATTCTAAAAGGAAAGGGAAAACAACCTTCATCCCTCCTAAACCTACTGCTAAACCAAATAAGCAGAAAGGGAAGGAAAAAGAAAAACCAACAGAAGTTCCCAAAAAGGTAGTCCCTCCTAAGAACCATAGGAAGCTGGACAAACCTCAAAAAGGAAATAATTTCAGAAGAAAACCTTCTAACCCCCATTATACACGAGGCTATACCCATTATGGGGTAGACAGGAGTTTTCCAAGAAATTCTGAGTGGAGAACTATGCCAAGATATAGTCATCCTTCACCCCAGAAGCTATTTGTGCCACCTAAGTATGCTTATAACCGACACAGGACACACTATGCACAACCTAGACAAAATTATAGGTCTTATCAACCTAGGTTTGCTAGAAGGAAACAGGAAATAACACCTCCTGCACGTAGGAAGTTTTATGCCTACAACTATGATTACAATCCCAACAAGTTTAGAGCTGCAAGGAAGATTCCCTGCAACTTCAAACTTGATAGAGGGACACACACCATTAACTACTTCGGACCCAAACTTAATTGGGTACCAAAATCTTCCTCCTCCTAATGCAGGAAGCCACTAAGTACCCATGTGTCTGGTACTTAGACAGTGGCTGTTCAAGACACATGACGGGTGATGCGAGCCTTTTGAGCAATCTAATTCCCTATGATGGTCCAAGAGTTACTTTTGGAGGAAGCAATGATTTTGGCCTTACCAAAGGGCTAGGAAATCTGGTGTACAAGAGACTAACTATCCAAGCTGTATCTTATGTTGAAGGTCTCAATTACAACCTTCTTAGCATAAGTCAGTTTTGTGATAAAGGTTACTCCTTGGAATTCTGCAAGGACACGGCATCTCTCAAGAACATCTCCACAAATGAAGTCATTCTCACTGGGAAGAGAATCAGAAACATCTATGAAGTAATATGGAGCGATGTCAAGGAAGCATGTCTAATCAGCAAAGGTGACACTAACCTTCTATGGCTTTGGCATAAGAGGTTGAGTCATCTCAACTTCAAAACTCTCAACAAGTTGTCCAAAGAAGGGTTAGTAGAAGGTCTTCCCAAAGCTGCATTTAGAAAGGAAAGTATTTGTGATGCTTGCCAAAAAGGAAAGCAAGTCAAGTCCACCTTCAAGGCAAAATCGGCACCCTCAACTACAAGGATATTAAGTCTTATTCACATGGACTTATTTGGCCCTGTTACACCAATAAGTCTAAGTGGAAAGAAATATGTCCTTGTGGTAGTTGATGATTACTCAAGATACACATGGACAATCTTTCTCAACGGCAAGAAGGAGACTCAAGGGAAACTCACCAACTGCATGAAGCTGATTCAAAACCAAGCAAGTCAGACCATTCAGAAGATCAGATCTGACAAAGGCACAGAATTCCTGAATGAAATCATCATTCACTACTG